ACATTGCGAAACATCGGTATTTAACGTCAGTTTTTTAAGATAGCTGCTTCCTCAGAAGACTAAATTCATCTGAAATTCCTTTGGTGGTCGTTTCACAAAGGGTTAACTGTAGGTTTGTAAGCCCACCAGTGATAATTGTAGTCACTATAGTCTGATATTATTTTAGAGACTTTGCTGGAAGTATTTAATTTAAAGGATACCTATTTTGCAAGATAAACTGCTACGAGTTTTCAAAATTGACGTAGCTATCATTGATGGTGAAGAAATCTAGAAAAAACGTTAGCATTCAACGAATAACATTTCAAAACAATAAAAACAGAGAGGTTTATCCTCAGTCAGTTACCTGTTCTTATCTAATTTTATCTGCTTGGACATTCATAAGCCAACCCGCAGTGCTAGATGAGCTTGCGCTTCTAGTCTGCTGGTGTCACTGGAAAACTTGTTTTTGTTTTCTTTCGTCCGCTCCCGGTTATTATCTTCAAGAAGCAGATGGTAAACATTAAAAAAAATCTTTGTTAATTTGCCGTTCAGAATTAGGCTGAAGTTCATTAGATGAACTACGAGCCAGGTTCTCTGAAAGATGGCGTCAAGAAGACAACCATCTTCATATGATGCTCTAGATTTGTCTGGATCACTTAACCTTACATAACCTAATCGGACATTCATAGACGTAACTATCCTTTTAGCATTGTGTTTCGTTTTGCTGCATCGGTTTTATATTTAATAAGAAAAGTGTCAGTTTTTCCCTCAACCTGATCAGCTTACGACATCATGAAGACAGTCTAAAAGGGCTGTTAGACAATAAAACGTTTGGCCAATAATTGGTGAACCATCGTCTCAAGTAAATGCCCTACTTGAAATATTCGCGTTTTCTTTTTCTTTCATTTTGCACGTTTCTGCAGTGCCGACGACACCCCAGTCATTAAAGGCGTGGATGCCGTGGTCATGTGATCAGATACTGAATCCGAGACCCGATTTGTGGACCCCACCCAGGATCGCTGATCCTTCCAGTCTTCGTCAGCCACAAATGCGAAAAGAAGCGTGTGAGGGTAGGACAGCAACAAACGATGTTTTTTTTAAACGCATAATTACCGCTTTAATTTGCCTCTTTCCACCTTTGAACTTCCTTTTATTTTCTCTTTTCGTATAATTACGATTTTTTTTCGGTTATTATCTTCAAGAAGCAGATGGTAGACATTAAAAATCTTAGTTAATTTGCCGTTCAGAGTTCGAAGTTTAATCCTTCATCACCGCTCCTGGAGAGGAATAAATCAAGTCTTCCTTTCCCCTCTCCCCACTTCACTTACTTTGGAACTTACGATGCGCTTTATGAAAATCTGTTTCTATAGAAATATTTTATTGCAATTGTAAATGACTGCGGATATTGCAACCCGTGAATGTTTAGCAAATTTTCAAAGTTGGAAATTCAAATTGTGTTTATTTATCATGCCCGGCTTATGGCTCGTAAGCATTTAAACATGCTGGGCTCTTTCTTTTGAACACATTCGAAAATTTACTATAGATTTGTTAGCAAAAGGATAACACTCTGGAGCTGATAAAAGGGAAGTTTCAAATAAAATAATGTTTTAGAGATCGCAAGAGATATAGGGAAAGGAACATGAAAAAATCAGTTACGCTGTTGACAAGATTTTTAATTACAGCGTTCACAATCTATAATGAACGCGCAACCACTTAAAACAAGCATAAATGCTATATATCCTTGTAGATCTTTCACTTAAAAACAATTGGGACGGAGCACGAAAAACCCAGTCGACCAAATGCACATAATGCCAAGTTATCTTTCACCAAATCTTGATTTGGGCGCCGCTTTAAAGACCATTAGACATTTCGGACCTAAACCCGTTAAAAACAATGTGTTTTCCTTGGGGTTCCAGCCATGGATGTTCCTCTCGTGATGTAAGTGTTTAATGTCTTTTATAATGAACCCTCTCTATGATGACTAGCCATGCTTCCAGATGATCTGAGTTTCTTGCGGAGGTTATTTTCTTACAAAGGTCATGTTTAACAATAATATTTATTTATATTCTCAAAAAACCTAGTCACTTTCTGAGGTGGCCATTTTAGGGTGGCGACATTCGCAACAGGATTCACGGTAATTTGTGCAACAGCTACTAAGACAGTTTCCGAAGCAAGCAAAATCTAAATTGATCATGGAACTTTTTAAATAACTCATGAAGGCTTGTATTCAAAATAATCTAATTTCGATGGAATGTTTTTAAAAGTCAATGTATTTTGAGTACTATAGTTGTTACACACGCAATACAGTTTTATTCCAATACTCTCTTCATACTGCTTAAGGAAGTGTTTTTTTTTCCTTAAAGAATAATTAAGTCATGCTTTCGTAAAAGTTTAGGTAGTACTGAAACAATATGGGAAAGTCCATGGTATTATTACCATTCACATTATAAAACATTCAATAAAATAAAAATGTGAAAGCTTTCAGATTTTAAATTAGGCCCAAAGGGTTTTGTGTGTTACCTTTATTTATTAAATATCATGTTCTTTGCACTTAAACCATAAAATTCAATTCAACAGGAGTATCACAAAAATATTTAGAAAAGTGTATCCTTAGAATTTCCGATACACAATCTCGCGAGCTGGAGATAAAAAATGTTTTTTTTTTTTTTTTTTTTTTTTTTCGCACAGTGTTGCCTTTGCTCTCTTTGAAATCGTTGAGTTTGCTAATCAAAAATTCGTTAAAGTTTTACAAAATATGAAATAGATAATAAAACAAATTCCAAATGTGGGCTTCTAGATGCCCATATTCGAGTGGAAGACTATGCTATTCAGAATCTGATGGCTCTAGGTAAGGTTGTTTTATCACAGTGCGAGAAATATACATACATTTACGCAGATTCTTCATTATTTAGTTTCTTTAAATATAATACAGGGCGATAATATATGGTGGCAACAATTTAACGAAATTAATAGCCCTTCTGAGCAAACGCCCTTTGGGCTAATAATCTTAAAAGTTATTAATCAGATTTATTTAAAAAATAAAATACATTTTTAAAATTGATTAAAAGTGCATGTTTTGCCTATAAATTGCTCAGGTTTTATGTAATGTAATTATAATTAAAGAATAAACCAAATATTTTTTTAAATATCGAATGGCAATACAAACTGTCAAATACAAACTTTACAAAATGTCTTGCCAGTCCACAAGAAAGATAAACTTAAGATCTTTTTTTCCAACAATGGCAATGAATGCAAAGTCGCTGGATGGAAATGCACGTTAACGTAGCGTAACTTAACAACCCAAAAACTTTGCTAAAATTCACAAAGACGTTTCTAGCATAAAAACACACAAATAAATTAACAAAAAACTTTAATTTTGCTGTAAGTTGAAAAAACTAACAATGGATTTGGATAATTCCAGGTCCAGTTATCCGGAATCCGGATATAATAGAAATTGTTCTGTACGAGAAAATTTAAATGTTACAAAGCAAAACGAATTTTGTAATTCTCATAGCAATAGCGATAAAAAAAATGGGAGGTGAAGGTAAGAAAGAGTTCCAGCTTAATTTCTTTCTCTTTCAAACAATGAGATTCAAATTAAAGACCGAAAGAACAGTGCTCAATTTTGATCCAATCAGCAATTCCTAACCCAGAGAAAAGGAAGAAGCAAGCAGCAAGCACACAACGGCCATTAGCGGCGATTAAGAGTGCCCGGTTTCTCATCATTAACGTTAAGTCCAGCTCTCGAATCATTAACAACAGATATAAAAGATACAGGAATTGTGGAGATGTTTGGCTGTTCGTGTTTTATGGCAAGTGAGATTTGCATGGAATGAGAGCACGTTTTATCTGGCGGCCTTAATCTGCATCAAGCACAGAATGCCCGTGAATATATTATAAATAATCGCGTTCGTGTTACAATTTTTAAGTTCAAACAATCATGTTGTTTCCCAGTTTGCGTAAATGGGCTTGATATGCTTATAATTATGATTTTTTAAAATACTTTTGTCTCTTATTTTATCTTATTTATTTATTAGAATCTTTAATGAAAATCTGATGTGTATACCACATGACTTCCTTGTACGGAATATTAAATTATATGCGTTTCTTCTTGGATTTCATTTAAACTTATTGGATCGAATTAAATCTACTTTGTCGATAGGTGATGATTTGGGGGTCTATACGCTGGGCGCGTATTCCAGAGGTCCGCGGTTCGATTCCCAGCGAAGGCGTTGCTAATTTTTCATCTCTCCTGCTTCCAAAAAATACCTAATGCCTCTACAATTTTAATACAACAAAGTACAAGACAGGGTTAGGTTCGTGACAGGGTTAGGTAACAGGGTTAGGTTCATGAAAGACTTTCTAATGGAAACTGGTTGGTATTCAAGTTACATGTGAGGAAAATTAGATCTAACCATCTGTTCACTTTGATTCAAATCCAGGAGGAACTACCATTATTCAGCAATGTTTAACTGCTCAGCTACTGATGAGAGCAGCTCGAGATTGGGAATTTTGCACTTTTATAAGAGTTGTGCTACAGTCAGTACTGAGTGTCCGAGTGCATTGTCATATTAGAAATCTCGGCTGCTATACTCTCGTAGATATGGTCTTACACAATGAATTCTGCTCAGCAAGCGAATGACAGACATCCTTTCCTTTGGACAGATCCAAAATCTCTACCCTCGCGAAATCGAACATCCATACAAATGTATCACTACGGAATAAAGTACTAATTCCATAAATACAGTGAACCCTCTTTAAACCGACCATTATTGCGGTACCAGAAGATTTCTCTCTTATATGGAGACCGTCATCTTAGTGAGGTCATATTCAATGTCGATGTTTGTTTATGTTTTCAAAAATACTGGTTGCTTTCAGAGGTTGGTCGTGTCGAAACAGTTCCTTCTAGTTTTGTTCATTTTGTATATCTCTTTTGCTAATTTCCCTGACTGACAGCAAATATTGATGTTCAGTGTGTGTTTCATGTTAGAATTCATCAAAACAGGAATACAATTTATTACCCAAATTTGGAACTCGGTATCTTCATTTACCCATCTTTTTGTATGACCTGCAAGAAAGAAAAAGATAGTTATTATTTTATAACATACTTTGGCCACGATATAAAAAAATGAAGGCAGCAATTTAGGAATTTTATTCTCGAATTCTGATACATTTCAATTTGATTATGCTTTACCAAAAGCATTTACTTAATTTTATGAGTATTATTTTTGTTCATGATAATAATAAAACATCCCATGCGCATTTAGCAAAAGGAATTGGTATTTATTATTTAAATACTTTATAAAAATTCTAAAATACCAGCTTTTTTAAACGTATTATGGCGCATAGAAATAAAATGATACAGATATTAAATAATATCCAAAATAAATAAAACTTGTTATAGCTTATAATAACACATCGGAATCTTCGTCACGTGAACCTATTAAAAAAAGTCTGATATGGGCACCACATTGACTTTTTTCTACGGCTTTTTAAATTATACATATTTTTTGCTGCATTTCATTTAAACTTACTTCTTCGAATCTCATTAGACATATCATTCCGGTTCAATCAATTCAGTTTTCACTTCACAGCAAGGTAAAAATACGTAAAACTCATTTAATTAAAAAATTGCAAAAGAGTAAAACCTAAAACACCAAACACATTTAAAAGTAATTAAAAAACAGATTTTGCAGTTAAAGATAGAGTTTCTAAGCGAAAACAAGCAATTCGGAGAGCGGGCAATAAAAGAGATTTTTCGGTGTACAAAAGTGAAAGTTTACCTTTGGTTCCACTCAGCAAAAATACGCTGAAATTTGGTGCACAAACTAACTTAATTCACGAAATGGCAGCCTCGTTAGACCAACAAATAAAAATAAATAGCTGAGTTCACTGAGCCAGATAACAGAGTGGGTATATGCATTTATATACGTTTGATTCAATCAATTGCGACCAACACGGGAGGTGTACAACTACATGTTATAGCAGTTTCGTATACAAAATGTCAACGCTCTGAGGCTACTCATTTTTGAGTTATGCAAGATACATACATACATATGCAAGATACATATGTAAAAATATAAAGTAAAAATCCCTTCTGAATCCATTTTAAATACATTTTATAATTCGTTTTGGAAGAAAGATTACTTTATTCTGTCCGAAAGTAGAGATGTCACGCAAACGCATCGTTCAAATGAATTTTACAGCAATCAAAATGGTTATTTTCATTGAAATATGGTTACAGTACTTCCTTTTTACCTCGTACTAGGAAATAAAAAGGTTTTATTGTAAAAACATTATGCATCTAATTCTTATTATGCTTTTAATTTGGCAATTATTAATAAAAATTAAGCAAAAATAAAGAACATTCTAAATCATAAGGGGAAGCTCTTTATTACATCGAAGCAAAAATGTTTCGCATGCTTTATTTATCAGTTCAGAGTTCATGGTAAATGCATAATATTCCGTAATTGGTTTTAATTAGCTAATTCTAGTCTTTTCATTTTTTCTTAAGTTTAAATTTTCACATCTGATATTGTGAGCATCATTCATCTTAATTTTTTTTTATTTATCTTCTTTCATTTTGCTGTTGACGTTTTCATCTTCTACTAAAATTATTAAAGAAAATTTTTGTATGCATTAATTCGATTTCCTCAGAAGTATTTATTGTTTATTGTTTCTAATTCTCGTTCTTAGTCCGCCTAGATGGTACAGCGGTTATCAGAGACTGACTGCTCATCTGAACTGCACGTTGCGAGTTCGAATCCCGCATAAGGCTTCATTGTCTGTACGTATGCCACATTATAGTTGTAGTATCGATTAACTGCTGTGATACACCATGGGCAACGCTCTCAGTGTCGACTGTTCAGTGTCGATGGGCTTTTCACAAAACAACTTTCTTATTTTTCACTATAAAAAAAAAAAAATGTTCTTAAATTTGAAAGGTTTCATATTTTAAATTACGTCTAAAGAAGCGTTTTCTTTAATATTCGGTATGTTACCCTTATTTATTAAATATCATGTTCCTTGCACTCAAACCATAAAATTCAGTTCAACAGCAATATCTCAAAATAAGTTTTAAATGAACATATCTGTAGAATTTCTGCTACAGAGTCTGTCGCGCTGGAGACGAAAATATTTTTTTCCGTATAGCGTTGCCATTCCTTGCTTTGAAATCTTTGAGCTTGTTAATAAAAAATTCTTTAATGTCTGACAAAATCAAGGAGGTTAGAATAGAAGGAGGGAGGGTTCGCAGTTTCCTCCACTATCGGGGAATGAAGCTCCACGGAACAAGCGGCGTCCATGTTTGTAACTTCAAAACATTTGCCATACGGTAGTGAAACGTACGTGTTTCTCAGCTGTTAAATGCAGGGATTTTCCAGTAAAAATATCTTAAATTTATAATGAAATGCTTCGCTATTGTTAGTTTTTTGTTTTAAAGTTATAAAGATGATATCCGTAATTTACTAAGTACAGAAAATCATTAAGAAATAGTTCGAAATCTAAATGATGTTTCTGCATAACTTCAAGAACTTGTATAGGTTTTATTATCAACTTGTTGGGTATACTTTCCAATTGTTTCTTTAAGAAGTGATATTTCTGATTTATTCGCAATATTATTACAATTTATTAAAGAATCACTTAGAATAATTTTACCTGAAATTAATAGCAGATAATTATCTAAAAAATGGTAATATGTTGCTTTTTTTTAAATGAATGTTTTAAATAGCTTTTTTTCACAACCAACAACCTTATATCAACAAGCAAATAAATATTAATAAAATAAACCAGATTTATGTGAATTCAATGATTTCAGTTTATGCGCGTTTCATATTTATAAATCTCAAAGAAATTACCTTGAATTAAGCTGAATTACAGAAATGTACCTATATAAATTTTTGGATATATCTTTTCACATGTTCAATTGTGTAAATATTTTACTTACGTTTATCGCAATACTGCCCAGAAATTTGTAAGCTTATGCAAAACATTTTAACAAGTGAACAGTTTATCTCGATCAAATGCACAAATTATATTCGTAACAGTTCACAAATTTAAAAATGAATAATAATTAATGCATAAAGAAAGCGTTGCTTTATTTAACACTTTTACAATTCATAAAAATAGTAACAATTAATTTCTTACTTTTCATGAAAATTATAAAACTATTTACCTAAGGGTTCAAATCATACAGTTTAATTACTAGCACATATCATTGTATGTTAAGGAACGAAGATACCAACTGTAAGCAAAAACATTAAAATGTATTTAACATGTTTTGACTATTATTAAGTTTTTTTTCACATCTGGAAAGAAAACAACATGATATTGTGATATTTTTTAACATATTTATGAAATTACACACACACACGAAAAAGAAAATCAATACTTACGAGTGAACAGTAATCCCAGGAATATTTTTTGAAAATCTATTTGTGCATCCATATGCAATATAAGCTGACATGCTTCAAAAAGAAAAGGGGAAAAAATGTTACAATTACAGACTTCTTTGCACAAGTCACAGTGATAACAGTAACATGGACGCCAAGCTTCACCGTTTGAGTTGAACCTTCCCTCCTTCTATTCTAACCTCCTTGGACAAAATATGAAATACGTAATAAAACAAAATTCAAATTCAAATTAACTCTTCCACATGCCCATATTCAATGGAAGATTACGTTATTCAAATTTTGATAGCTCTAGGTACCGTTGTTTTATCACAATGCGAGAAACATACAAACATTTATGAAGTTTCTTCATTATTTATTTTCTTTAAATATAATAATCGGCGATAATATTGGGTGGCAACAATTTGAAAAGTGAACCGACATTTATAGTGAATCAATGCAAAATGCCAAAACGAAATTAATAGTTCTTCTGGTTAAATTTCCGCTTTAGACTAAAAATAGATAATAAAACAAATTCAAAATTCAAGCTTCGAAGTGCCCGAACATCTGCTGAAATCGTTGGCGCAATATCCGGAAAATCATGGTCGAAGAGAAAGTACTTAAATTCCGAATTTATTCATTGCGTTTTATCTACTGAAAAACAGGAAATTTTCCTGGAAAGAACCTTTAATAATTTTTATACGTTTTTTAGTTTCTTGAGCATTACGGTTTCAAACAATCCGGAATACTGCCAGAATGATTACCCGTACAGTGTGAGGAATTGCTGTATTTTAGCACTTGTTGCAGTTAAGCAATTTTTATGTGGTTTATTAGTAGTAAACATTTTTTTTTTTTTTAAATAAACTGTTTTAGTGTATTTAGCAAGTTTAATTTTTACTTAGCCTGAAAAAAGAATAATTCGATTCGGATAACCAGAATTCCAGATGTTTAGAATCCAGGTTATTGGAGCTGTTATGTACTATTTATTCTCTTTTCATTCTATTCCGTCGCGCCAACTGCCGTCAACAAATCCATCATTAGCCTTTTGTGTCTCACGAGACGGCCTTGGCCGAATCTCTTTTCCGTCCGCGCGCGAAGTATTTTACGGGATGTGCTGCAAAATTTGCTGCTACCATCCCTCATTAAACTATTACAGTTTAATCACATGTTTTCCCCATCCTTTCGCTTTTCGGCCATGACATCATCGTATGTCATTCCCCTGTGCTTTAAAAACGTCTGAAAGATTAATAACACAGATGTGTCCAGTCGAGAGTCCTCCGTCACTCAAGCCTGGCTCTTTTTTCATCCCTGGAAAGCATTTATTCGATTACAGCTTGCTGAGAAATTTGTCTCTTCGGCAATTAAGGCTACGCGACAAGACACGACTGCTATCACTGCCTTCTTTCCACTGGAATTACAAAGAAAGCCGTAGAACGATCAACACGGCCGTTAGCAATGTATCACTAAAAATATGAAATAATTTTTTCACCACCAATCTGAATAATGGGGGGGGGGGAGCAGGAACTGAAACTTTGTAAAGTGACACATTGGAAATCTTTCGCAGGAAAACTAACTGAACTGAATGTTAAGTGCGTAACAATTTGGAGTGACTTAAAATTCAACAGGTGCAATTCTTGAAGTTTCTGATTTCTAAAATGTGTACAGTTACTAATGAATTGGA